ACCCGCAATGTTTCTGCATACCATTAGGGCTTTTGTGGCCTTATTTACTACTTCCTTCTCACGTGTGTTCCAGAGAAGTTTGTTGTCTAGGGTTAGGCCTAAATATTTGACTTCATTTTTCCATTCTATGTCTATCCCGTGTAATTTAACGGTTTTGAGTTTTCTTTTCCTTGAAAAGGCTACTAGTGTTGTTTTTGTAGGGTTTATACTTCATGGCACCATCTTTGCCATAGAAATAGTTTGTTTTAAATTAGAATTGTCAAAATTGTTACTTTTGTTTTCATTATTATCAATACATGTAAAATTGTTTTTAAAGTTTCGATTAAATTTAATTTAGTTTTAACGTTCTGTAAAAGTTGTCCATATTGAGTTAGGAGGTATTGCCAGTTAACGGACGATAGAGTGTTATTAAAAAATTTGGAGTGGGGTAGCTGGAGGGGGCGGGTGACCTGATGGGTTTGTGATGCGAGGCCAACCCTGTTCTTTGTCTATTTATCGTACCCGCGACAGAAAGTCTAGCACTGGCCACATCGAGAATCATCGCGAGACTCGAGAAACAGAATCGAATATTTTCCATCGCAGTCTGACACGTGGAGAATAATTCCCGGAACTTCTAGACTGTGGTTCTAGTCAGAGTTGGTTCTATCGAGAATGTTACATTTCTGTATAAATAGCATGACTTGTCGACAGACAAAAAGATTCAATTTAAGTGTTGGATAGTAAAGACAAATTGTAATAAATAAATTAGAATTGTGAGTTATAATGGTGCCTAAGTATTATATAAATTAATTAGTGGCTTATAAATAAATTATAAATAAACTGTTTTAAATAAATAAACTATAAATAAATTAAACAAATGTTACACATTGTTCATTTTACCCATACATCCTGAAGAACCACCCAAAATTTTAAGTTTTTATCTTCAAAAACACCAGATTCAATATTAAGTTTTCATGTGGACACCTGGTATGTATTACGGTGACCGTTAAAGCTTTTAAATGATTATTATTAATTTTTCCAGATTCCTGTGAGTAGCTTTCTTCATTTTTTTTTATAAATAAACGTTAAGATACTCATAAAATTATATCTAGTAGTTGGAAATTCAAATTACTTGGCAACTATCTTCTAGTAAGTCTACACACTTCCTGGAGCATAAGAATTATGCCGTTATTTTTAGAAGGGGTCTATTTCTATTAGAAAACAACCAAGAATACACTGTTTCGGTTTTTTTGAACGTAATTTATGTGTGTTTATCTACCAATGTATCCAAATAATTTGAAACGTGGTGTTGATATTTTTATTTAAACTGTAATTTTTAAAACACGTTTCTCGATTAATTATGTAGTATAATTTTTATTTTGTACGATATTGGAAGTTCATTTATAGAGAAAATACAAATTTTGGAGAATGTGTTGATTTTAGAGACTATTTCGAAAAATCGGAGCTGTGCAGTACTCGAGTACAGGTACCTAGACACCTACAGCAGTAGGAATGGCTTTAATCCGTGTTCCGGAGCCTCCTTTAAATTTTTTCCAAATAAACTTGAACCCCATAGGGATCCAACGTGGCAATACCTCTGGGTCAGATTATAACAAAATTAATATCTGAAAATGAGATGATTTCTATAACAACTTTTATTTCTGTCAACAATTCCTTTTTATAAAGGCCTACAATATTTAGTGAGGTGAAATACCCAGTTATTTATAACTTTGGGTAAATACCCAGGATACATACCCTGGTAAATACCCAAAATTCAAAAATACCGAGGTATTTATTAATTTAAAGCAAATCACGGATCGTAGAAAGTTAAACCTTGTAAAATTGTGTTAAATTTATCTTGTAATTCAAAAAATGAAATCAGTACAATATGACGAATTAATCGAAGTCTAAATATTCTGGCTCAGAGTTGAATTCGTCACTGGAGTGGCTTGAAAGTGACATGTGGTCATCTTCATCGTCACTGACGTCACTACATTTACTACTACCACTACTATTGGATATTTACATAAGTTCTTCACTTTGGCTTTTTGTCAAAGTCAAATAACCTTCTTGACTTCTTTCTATAGTTTGTGGCTTTTTGACGCTGTTTAGAAGATTCCAATTTCCGATAAATATGCTATTTGTCCATCTCTTTCGGTGGTAAGTCTGTTTTTTTTACAGTGAATCCAACTGAAAGTCACAGATCTCACAGGTGCTCCTAATATTCTCACAGCTACATCACCCAATACACATGTTCCTCTTAGCCCCCTCCACCATACCATGGAACTGATTTCTTTTTCATTTCGTGAAAAAGTTTTACACCTTCCCAACTAAAAGACCTTAACCACAGCCCTTCTTTATCCCTATAGTCAGTTATATTTTGATGAATATCAACTGTATTTATTCCCTTGCTGCTGTCAATTTCACAAACAAAACTAATAGCATCAAGTTATTCATCGGGCTTCAAGTTATAACCTTGAGATGAAGAATTTAACAAGTCAGCAGCCAGGTGAATTTGTCCCACCCCAAATTGAATAAGTTTTTATAACTTTGAAAGAACATTTTTTTCCTCAATCTTTTGTAGGTATTTCTTGTTTAAGGGTTTCTTGCAGAGTATAAAATGTTGTATGATCATTGTGGATCAGGGAGGTATTTGGTTCAAGGGCAGTGATACGCTCAACAATTGGATTTTTCAACAGTGACCCAAAACACACCGTCATCAATTATCTGTCTTTTCATTTCTGATGAGATTTCTGCTTTTTCATTGACAGTTAGTTTTTGAAGCACAGATTTATTTGATAATAAACTCTGTAAACAAAACAAATTACTTCTCCATCTTGTTTGACCAGGCAGTTTCAAAGAAACTTTTTTCCAATTGAAACCTGTCAAATAGTGCTTTTAGGACATGGCTGTTCTTAATAGTTTTTACTATGCTAGTAACAGTTGCAATAAAAGATTTAACAGTATTGCACTTTAAGATATCTTCACACAGAAGGTGTAAGAGATGAGCAAGGCAACCAAGAGTAAAGTACTTTTAAATATTAATATAAAACAAAATAGTAATTAAAAATGTTAATAGAAATTGTATTTGTTCCTTCTTTTTTTTTAATTAAATAAGCAAAAACACATTGCTTTTTTTATTACGTGTGATCGTATTCAATTAAATAGAGAAACAAGTGGAGAACATTTATTTGAATGCTTCATTCCTAAATGAGTACACTCCATACATTAAAATGTATAATAAATAAAAAAATTCGTTGAACAACGACAAATTGCGTTAGGGTGGGACATCCGGTATGTACTTACAACGAAATTTACCTGCAGTATTGCTTATTCAACCGTCGGAATACACCGTATATTCAATTAGATTCGTAGTATTAATTGTAATTAAAGTTAACGATTTCTATGTTTCTATAAATAAAGTGGGTGCGTATTATGGAGAATAATTACCATGAAAATTATATTTGTGCTGTTTGTATTATTCGCGCAATTACAAGGTTTCCTGTTGTGATAATTTCTCGTTTCGTAATCGATGCGTTTTTTCGAAAATACAACTATACAGGGTGGATAGATAGTGTAGAGTCAAATTGTTAACTTTGAATTGAATACGCAAGTAAATGTAAAGGACGTGTGTATATAAAACAAAAATCTAGTAGCTTTAATTCTCTTAGCAACTTCAGCTACTGGAGTTCCGCAAGGATCAATGCTGGGTTCGTAAACTAATCGCATAACTTTGTGTCTATGGACACAAATTTTGAATTTTCGCATAAGTACCTACTTTGCCTGACGTATTAACTTTGACAGTCTGCTCGAAGTTCTGGTTTTTACTAATGTATGCTATGCTGTCTGTAGGGCAAGATAATAGGATTTTCAGAGTGAATTTTTAGAAAAAAATGTTTTTATTAAATATCTTGACTATCGTTTAAACTAGGAAAAAGTGGTTTGCATCATTAAAATTTTCTTTAAAAGCTCTATAAACTGGTTTTTACTAATTCATGCTGTGTTGTACGTAGGGCAATATAATAGGATTTTCAGAGTGAATTTTAAGAAAAAAATGTTTTTGGTAAATAACTTAACTATCGTTTAAATTAGGAAGAAGTGGTTTGCATCGTTGAATTTCTCTTTAAACGCTCTATAAACTGCTTTTTACTAATTCATGCAGTGTTGTCTGTACGGCAAGATAATAGAATTTTCAGATTGAAGGGTCAAAAGTATCACATTCTCAAAACTGCCAATCTGCACATTTGTAATTTTGGCATTGATATATATATACTTCAGCATATTCGACCGAAATCCATTTACCATAAGGAAACTATGGGGTTCTTTGGTATAAAAAATTATTTTAAAGAATAGAAGTAATGTAAAAAATTAAAATGTATGCTCGTTTTTGGCTCACCGTGTATTTATCGCCTAGATTGTTTCTTGAAAATTTACCGAAACAACTGCAATTAATGATCATATTCAAGAAAAGTATTCCGCAGGAAGACTGTTCAAGAATTAACAAAAAAAAATCTGTTTTGAACATTACATCTGTTATTTTTTTGTCTCACCATAAATGTGTAACAATGGATGAACGGTCACACACCCAGAAATGGACGGTACATTCAACTTTATTTATGTATTTTTTTTTTTAATAAGGCGTCTGTTTTTGTTTACCTTATTAAAATGAATGCAAATTAAAATATTCTGCTCTCATCATTAATTAATTTTGAAATGGAAAGAAAGAAGCATTTTTAAAGTGTGTTCCGATGGAGTCTAGCGTTTTCGGCATTAAGCCATTAGGACACTGACAGAATGATTACTAAACATTTTTTATAAAAAGAATGGTAGAGAAAAAATTAATTACAGTTCTTTTTTTAAAAAAACATTAAGTTGTGTTTTTAATTCTTTGGAATTATTTTATCTATTCGAGAAAATTGATAATCTTCAGTTATATTATTGTATTTATCGAAATGGACTAGCAAAAATTATAGTTATTCTTACATAGTGCAACCGTGACAAATATTTCCTCGTTTTATTAGTAAAACCCCAAAATGCGGCAACCCAGGAAATCCTAAAAATTGAAAAACCAGAGAAATGCTGGACTTGGTGAAACGGGTCAGCGCGGTAGCAGCTCCCCCTTACGTGGGCAGCGTGAATTTACGAAAAAAAGACAAACATTCGAAACGAATCAGCGTTTTAGTACGACCTCGTAGCTTGTTGTGTACGAGGAACAGCGAAGATTTGTACGGGATGGGCATGCAGAGGCAGAGCAACACTTGGAAGTTCCATCGGCCAAAATCAATCAATTCTGTCAGGTAATTATTTTGGGTGTAGTACACTAAATGTGAAATATTGGTATAATTGTAGGAAATTGAAATACCGCGGATTTTCATGAAATTTTGCACAGCCTTTCCAAATGTTCTAAAAAGCACTACTCGTAATTTTATTAATCATAACTATAAATCTTGTTTTTACCTTTACACATACAATCTTCATGTTTACAAATGGCTATGTTAATTAATTAATTTTCATTGTCCATTAGTTGCATCGGTCCAAATCGATCAATTCTGTCGTGTAATGTATTTTGGTTGTATTACACAAACTAAGAAATATTAGTATAATTATAGGAAATTGAAGCACAATGGATTTTCATGAAATTTTGGGCAGCTGTTATAAATGCTCTAAAAAGCACTAGGTACCTTTTCTACCTGTAAAACATAAGCCATCGAGAAAAATATTTGGAGTTGGCTGCGAAATTTACATGTTTTAAGTTAGTACTTTAGCCACTTCCACAGAATGATATTTATTACTTGAAATTTTCATTGTAAACAAGGTTCGTTACTGCTAAATTCTAAATATTTCAACAAAAAAAAAAAACAGAAACAAAGACTCATTTTACCTAAATCATGATCAATATTTACACAAAACGATAGAAATTGTTAACAATGTTGCCCCTTTATGTCTAAACACAAACCAACTTTATACCACAATCCAGCAAAAACGTTATGGCCGGCCATACGAAATCGCATATGTTTTAATCATAAGACCTTGTTGCATGGCCGGATTTAGAGGTGTGAAGGCGCTGGGGCAACAAGGGAGTGGAGGCCCCATTAACGATTTCGTTAAAATCCAGCTCCTACAGTAAATCACTTTCAATGCTAAGTAGAGATAACTTTGATAGCCGGTTTTGTCCCATCGTAGTTCTTATCCTATTTTTTATAAATTTCATTTTTGAAAATGAGAGTTCTCAAGTGCAATTTGACACTATCAAAACCAAGTACATTCGCAATGTGATTTCTATGTTTGGCGATATAGCTCTGAAAATTTGATAATATAACAGTTCCTTGGATGTTTTTTTATAGTCTGTTTTGTATAAGTTTATCAAAGACACAAATTGAACCAACTCATTACCAAGACTAGGTTCTAAATCGTCTTTGTAAACTTTTACCAATTCATCTGCTGCAGCATACAAATTTGCAGCGTCCATCTCCTCTTAGTGAATAAGAATGACGTTTTAAATTTATATCATTGAGCGAATCCAACCCCACATTTCTAGTTCTGGAGCGAGATTGTACGTACTGGTCAGTACTTGATATTCCTTTAGCAGCTTCTTCGTATATGTCAAACTCGTCTCTTTTGGATTCAACAAAGTTCAGTGATTCCAGTGCATACATTGCAGACTCAAAAATCATCTTCGGGTCCTGCAAGATCTTGTTTGTATCGTTAAATCGCTCCAAAAGATGGTTTCGAGAGAACTCATCTTCTCCAAAAGATGCGCTACTTCAATTCTCACGATGTCTTTTTGCTCCTTATCACAAGATATGCTAGTAAGAGCCTCTTCCATTTCAGAATAACCGTCGACAATAGCTTCCGCGGCTTCAGCTCGACAAGACCAGCGTGTATCGCTAAGCCTTTTCAACACGTAAAACTGTTTTTTTTTTGTTTTTTCCGATAATTTTTCAGTTAGAATTCGGTATCTTTCTGTACTTGCTGTGAAAAATGTATATAAATTCTAAACGAAATCAAAGAATTGATCGGCCGTTGTGTAAGCATTTGCAGCAGCCGTTCCAACTAAATTAAGAGAATGACCACAACATGGCACAAACACTAATAAAGGAATTTTCTTCAAAATCAGAGCTTTCATGCCTTTGTATTTGCCGCTCATATTTGTAGCATTATCGTATGATTGGCCCCGACAATCGAGAATGTCAATTTGATGATCGCCTAAAAATTTTAATACAGCGCCCACAGTTTAGTAAAAAGGCCAGAAATCTTTCCTTTGACATCGATACTTCAATATATCAAAAAACTATAGTCAGTTGATCGTAATGAGATTCGTCTGACGTGGAGTCCACTGATACCGAATAATACTTAGATTTTTTAATTCTTGATATTATTTCATCGAGAACTTTATCACCCATGGAACTGGTCAGTTCTTCACAAATCGTAGACGAAAGGTAATTGACATGACTACTCCCCTTATTTGCATGCTCTTCGAAATGGTTTGAGAGAAGTGATTTATATTCGGCTAGCAAGTCCAGAATATCGAGGTAATTTCCATTTCTCGGCGAACCAATAATTTCTTCATCACCTCGGAAGGCTAATCCGCGTTCAGCAATGCATTTAATAGTACTGACAATCATTCTGAGGATTTTTCGCTAATACTGTATTTCTTGTGCCTCTTGAATCGCTAACTCTTGATCAATGCGTCCTGTGACTGTTGCACCAAACTCATTAACGATTCTAATAATATTAAAATCATATAAAATTAATTATATGATTTTAATTCGTACTAATAGGTACTTTTTCGTTGTATAAGAATTTTTTTTAATAAATACAATTTATGTGAAGGCCCCTCTCTGGTGGAGGACCCAGGCAGTTGCCCTTTCTTAAATCCGGCCCTGCCTAGTTGGATATGAGATTTCAGTGTTCCTACTTATTATTCTTATCAGAATATTGTTCAAGGTATTAAAGTGTTTCTCTGGTCTATTGTGCTGTTGTTCCATCTTGTTGGATATACCCATTTTGTAATTCTGTCTTCTTAGCAAGAAAGGTCATATTTACAAAATTAGTTTTTACTTTTTTAGCTCTTTTATATATTAAGGTACCTTAGCTGAAATTACTAAATGTTCTAAAAAGTTTATTCCTAAATTAACAAACTACCCTTTATACTAATTTTAGTAGTTAGAACATTTTAAACTAGTATTTTATGAAAAGCAATTACAAATTAAATACCTTTTTGGGCATGCACTGTGATGGAGACAACATCCACCACTGTTTCTGTTTTATTAGTAACTTTTGGTTATTTTTAGTTGGTAACACTAACAATAACCATATTCCTATGAATTTGGTTCAGCCACATACTTTGATTACTATACGACGCAAGAGAGAGGTCCGACACGCCCAACATAGGGCGCGGCCATTTTGAACCCTGTGACACAGTTTACAGCTAAAGAATCAGATCGCTCACTCTGCGTCGGCACTTTGGATCTCAATGTTCCAGTTTATACACTGCGCAACTCGGATAATACAATATATAACAACCGCCTATAATAAAACAGCAGTCTTCTGCGTATCCTGAATTTGTATCCCTGGAGTGGATGTTATTTTGGAACTTTCAACTGGTCCGAGTGAGCTAACTGATTCTTTAGCAATAAACTGTGACTTCAAAAATAATATTCACTGACACTGACAGCAGCAAGCAAAATATCAGGTGCGTTTTAATCATCCGCTTCTGCTTCCGGAATTGTCGGTTTAGTCGTTTTAACCTGTCAGATTAAAACAAGAAAACTGACAATTCCGAAGCAGAAGCGGATGATTAAAACGCACCTATTAAAAATATTGCGCCAAGATGTAGGCAACACGTAATAAGGGTTCAAAATGGCGGAGTTTTCTATATCCTTTTAAAAGGCACTCAGAAAGTTGCGCAGTGCGACCATTCTCCGTATAGTAAAAGAAAATCAAAGTATGTGGGTTCAGCCAAGTCAACAGTGTCGTTGTTCGGCCATTGTTTAAATAGTAGAATGAGACGACATAAACACTATTTTGCGATATGACAGATGGACGCACTTAGCGATGCCAAGACTTATATTACGGAAAAATGTAATCAAAATTGCGATTTATAGTCGTACTTTGATTTATTTAGTCAATAATTTTATATTTGAAGATTGACGAAATAAAAATGTTTTTATATCATCTAAATGAAGCTATTTAAAAAAAAATTACATTTATTCTCACCAAAACTGCCAAGCACCACTAGCTCAGTTTGACACATGGCGTAAAAGTGTAATGCAAAGGTGCGAATAGTTTTAGTTTCTTTATTCTATATCAATATTCTCAATGGTCCAGATAGAAAGTAGTCTCTCTGAATATCTGCACAGAATTTGTCAAAACATTGTAAACACACTAATTCAAGATGTTCTTCAATAAAATCAGCCACACATTCTGGAATTGAATACTGCCACTCACCATTTATTTTCATACCTATACGGTAGTAACGTTTTGCTTTTTGCTTTGAGTTGAATATCATTTTATAAATTTTATTTTCTTCATAAAAGTTTTGACTTTGACTCAAACGTTCAGTTTTAATTTCAAGGTTAAAATGTCATTCTGTGGAAGTGGCTAACATTTCGAGCATTTAGTTTAACATTTAGTATTTAGTCAAACATTAGAATTTACGAGTCAATTGTAAATAGTTGGAATTTTTTTTAAAGGTTGCCGATATCCCAGAGTAAAAGAAATATTAAAGGAAATGTTTTACATTACACTAAATGGTATATTTTTAAAATATCATGTTGGCTTATAAAAATTAAAATATGTAAAATAATTTCAACAGCTGTCTTATTTTTATGTATTCCTATATTGCCCTGGGGGCCTTAACTCTATTTAAAAACTAAAAGCCCATCTGGGAACCGTTTACATTTAGCTTAGAGGGTTATTTAATAAATGATTTTTTACGCTTCATATTTTGCCCTTTTATCTATAATCTACCCTTAAAGATTATAGAATCCCCTATGTTATCAGATTCTATTCTTACACAAAGAGTTGTTTGTAGTCCAATGTGAACATCGATTACGTTAGGTAGGGCATCAATAATTTTATTATTAACCGTTTGACAAAAAAATGGCAATATCAGTGTGGATTTACAGAAGGAAGGTTAACAGTTATTATGCAGTCTGGAAACCATAAGTCAAGCGGAAGTGGAAAACCTATTTATTAATAATGTACACAATTGGGAGTGGGTATTTGATTGTCAAGAAAGATATAAATCATACCCATGAGATCAATTCGAAGAAAATAAATCGACAAATCATCT